GATCTTCTGCAAATAGGGAGGGGGCCAAAAGATAAAAGAAGGAGAAAAAGAGAGGGAAAGGAGACATAAAAAAAGAATTAAGTACCACAAATTGTACAAGTAAATAAATAAGTAAAAGTTCACAAACTCAAAGTTCAGAAAAGATAAATTTACATGTTGCTGAGATGTTTCTTTCTTAAGGCTCTGTAACCTGCCTTTTAGGATCATCCTGCTCATAGGACTGGCTTGGTCTGGTACCCTTACCAGGGTATTTGGGCTTCATAAGGAAAAAGCCTATGCTCATCAGACCACTAGTTGCCTTGATTGTCATTAGTACCTGACCAGAGAACCAGTTTTGTGAAGAGAAAGCAAACCCATCAACCCCGAAATTTTATCTTAGTTGTTCCTTCCATGGGATGATTCTTTGTGCCGGGAACATCTGATTTGTAAATTGAGGTGCACCTATGTCTACCTTCGAGACAGGTGTTTTGTTTTTATTTTGACCCAGGCTTATTTTTATATAGTGGTTGGCAGTTCTTTTAAGAATCTTTCTCTCTTTCCTCTTCTTCTCCTTCCTCTTCCTTTTCCTCTTCCTCTTCCTCCTCTCCCTCTCCTCCCCCTCATCCTCCTCCTTCTTTTTTGGAGACAGGGTCTCACTGTGTAGCCTGGGCTAGCCTCAAACTCATGGCCATTCTCCAGTCTTAGCCTCCTGAGTGTTGGGATTACAGGCATATGCCACCATGCATGGCTTTAAGAATGTTTCTAGGTGTTAAAATGTAAAAAAAAAAAAAAAAGTAAGCTAATTTTAATGTTTCAGAAATCTTCACTGAAACCATAAATGAGGCTACAATAAGATAATTTAAATTAATCTTATTATTCATTCCATTTTGGTTATCTCCTTCTTACAAAAACTTTCTAATAAGCTAGCTTGTTTAATTAATTTTTATCAGTAAAAATGAGAAAAAGAAGTTGTAATTCATAAATTTAATAGCACAATTTCTCCAAAATTTGAAAGTATTTGTATAATTTGAGAATTAAATTAAGTCAAATCAGCATTTGTAACTAATTATCATTTATAATATTAAACTGTCTAAACTACTGATCTAACACTGGAGGGCTAAGAAGCCACAGCTCTAGCTTTGTGGACCAAAATGCGGGCTTCAAAAAGAGTAGCAATTTTAGCTTCCATATCACTAGAGCATAACCAATCAAATTGTATCCTGTATCTTTTTTCTTACCTAAATTTGATTTGTATTATTTATTGTAGATATTTTTCCAACCTGAATTTAATCTTGTCTTGGAACAAGGTGGAATATAAAAGAGTACAAAACAACAAACACGTTAATGTATTTTAGGAAGGGAATCGGAGAGCTTGGAGATTAGATGGGGAAAGTCTAAAGTTTGGGAATTACTTCTTACTAAACCACCACTGCGTAGGAGTAAGGGAGTGGCTCATTTCTTAATTCCAACTTCAAATGTTTTCGCAACCTCATCCTAGCCCGAATACTTCCCACTCCTATTCACCAAGCAAACATCTCTTCATGGTTTGGTTTCCCTCTTGAGTCAGAGAGAGAATGATGGGTTAAGCATATTTTTCAGTGTAGCTTTTTTTTACAGTTTTATTTGGGAACTGATTGGTTGAGTCAATATGGTGAGACTAAAAACTTGCACAATTTTTTCTGATGTGCAAATAAAATCAAGTTTGGGCCTGTGAGTTGAGGGTTGGAGCCATGATGGGCTGGTCAGCTGTGCTGCCTCCACCTCCTGAAATCCTTTCAGAGTGGCCATCTGGGCTTTCTGGGTGCCTCTGCCACCTTTTCTCATTCCAAGCAGGAGAAGCCTAAAGAATGTAGCTTACAGGGACCCTTGGGCTTGAGAAAATTAAAAGAAATCCTTTATTTTTTGCCAGGACATAAATTTTATGATGTTTAAATAGAACTTAAAGGTTTTCAAAACAAACTGTTCTGTCCGACAGGAATTAAAGAAAAAGCAAGTCCACACTATTTAACAGAAATACAATACCTTGAGCTAAAAATTATGTAGCGGTATCTGTGTTTTATATTCTTTTCTGAACACTTCATTACAAATTATTAGAATTTTCTTGTTCTTATATAGTACATTGAAATATTCTCTACAGTGCTATGTTTTGGGAAGTGTAGAGCAAGAAGCAGTCTCAAACATTAAAAGCAAAATAAAACAAAACAGCTTTTGTGTCCTTGCTACCTGCTGCAGAGTGGCTAGGTTGGAGGTGGCAGTGAGGGCTCCAGGGTGGACGGGATTGGAGAGTTCTGAGCATCAGAGCTGGCTGGAGAGAAAGCAGAGAATGCAGTGCATGGATAGCAGGGAGCTTCTGGGCTTCTTCCCAGGGAAAGAAAAGGTACTGTATTTCTGCCGCATAATTGTGGACTTGCCTTTTCTTTAAAAGGAGTCCTTTAACTCACATGCATAAATACCAAATATTTTTCTCTGGTGTGAGAAACTAAAAGTGTAAAGGATCAAAATGAGTAATTGATAATGTGAAATAGGAAGAAAAGGTCTAAAGGGGTAGGGGAAGTGGGAGGGGCAGGGGAAAGGAAAGGAGGGAAAGGAAAATATATGAGAAAAGAAAAAACGGAAAGCAAAGTCTTTGTAAATAGGGAGGGGTGGAGGGGGTGAAGGGAGGGCAGGGGAAGGGGGAAAAAATAAGAACCACAATACATCATGTAAAGGTACAAGTTCCCAATGATAAATGTAACTGTATTGTAGACCTAAAATGTACCAATAAAAGGACTCCTTTAAAAAAATTATTTTGAGCAAGCACAAGGTCCCAAGTTCAATCCCCAGTACCCCCCTCCAAATTATTTTAAAGTAGGTTGTCACTATGTTGTCTAGACTGGTCCTGAACTCAAGATCCTTCTGCTGGGATCATAGGTGTGCGCCAGGTGAGATTTAAATAGGGTCCTTGATGGTTAAAAGATCAGAAGCTACCAGTTTAGCTGACACGTATATTGTCTTTTGATTTCAGAGGCTTTTTGGCAATTGGATTAAATGTGTTCATACTAAAACTTGTTTGACTACTATCTCAAGTTAAAATATTACATAGGGCAATTGTTTGAAAGTTTGGTCCTTTGTCTGTGAAGTTAGTATTTTGTGGCTATTTTATTTTATTTTATTTATATTTTTGAGACAGGTCTCACTATGTAGTTCAGGCTGGCCTTGAACTCACACTGTGCAGCCCAAACTGGCCTTGAAGTCCTGGTGATTCTCCTGCCTCAGCTTCTGAAGTGCTGGGATTACAGGTATGTGTCACCATGCTTGGCTTTTTTGTGGCTAATTTAAAAGCATTGTGTTTCTATTACTAATCAATCATTTCAGAAATGATCATTGTCTACTCTAAAAGACACACACAACTACAGAACACACACACACACATCTCTTCCTTCCTTTTTATTTTCTTTGTGAAAATCCTTTTTCTTTTAGTTTCATTTGAAATAATTTTATTTTTTTTTCTATGCCTTTTTTTTTTTTTAACTGTTGAGTTTTGGTTTGGTTTGGTTTTGGGTACCAGAAATCAAACTCAGGGACTCATGCTTGCCAGGCCTTCCCTTTTTTAACTAGTGCTGGGGATGGGACCTAGGGCCTTGCACAAGCTAAGCAAGCATTTTACCACTGAGCTACATCCCCAGCCCTCGCTTACTTCTTTATCAGTGTTCTTTCCTTCTCAGTTCTTCGCTCCTGGTGTCAAATTCTTTCATGAATCTTAGGCATTATCCAGAATTCTTCATTGTGGCATTTTCTGACAAAGGAACTTCCACAAACATAGATTTTGAGCCCAACAGATCTCAGTTCAAATGTTAAAATATTGGCTGTCATTTACTAGCTGTATGGGGATATTGGAGATTCCTAATGCTCCATTTCCATGTTTATAAAATGACAAAATTTTGTTCTTTTTTCCTTTTCTTTACCTACTCATGTGTTTATAGGCATCTAGGCTGGTTCCATATCTTGCCTATTATGCATTGTGCCACAAGAAATGAGTATGCAGGTATCTTAAAAAGTTGGTTGTTTCTAGGTAATAAGGCCATTTCAAAAAAAAGTTTCAGACAAATGTATCTAAGATAATTAAGCTAATTTCAATGAAATCAGCAAATATGACCCAAACTGACTGATTAAAATGGAAGAACACAACTTTTTATACAGGACACACCCGAAATGTCAATGAGCTGGCATCTTCCCTAACACAGGTACAGGCTATGAGAAGCAGAGAACTTCCTGTCTAGAGAGATTCATAGGTTAAATACGATTTCTGAGAGTTCCTTCTCTAGACTTCATTGGTTCTGGAATTTCCTTTCGCACCAGAGTAGGGTGATTGTGGTCTTTTTAAATGTTCATGTGTTACTGGAAAAAACTCCTGTGATGATACAGATGCTGCCAAAATCACTCAGGCAGAAATAATAAGACATGTTACAATAACTCTCTGAGTAGCCCATTGGATGGATCCACAGCTATGCAGGCCCTGAGCAGGTACAAACCCGCATCAGAGGAATCACAGCAATTAGAAAGGGGGTGGAAGGATTATAAGAGTGAAATAATTGACAAAGGTTAGAAGGGTTGGGTTGTATGGGTTTTGAGCAGGTTTGTCTGAATTTGTTTTACAAATGTGAGCTGTTGTGATTCTTAAGAAAAGCTGAAAACGTCTATCTATGTACTGAAGATTGTTTTTGGCATGGATGGTAACCAGTTGTTCCCTAGACCCATGAGGAAATGACTTCAACTGGAACCAGCTCTCAAAGTATAGGCAGAGGGTATAGGAGGGGGAATGATGGGTAGAATCCAGCAGATGACAGGTCCATTCCTGTTTGCCATCTACTACCTATGTGGTCTTAGGCAACTCACCATCTTCAGGCCCCAATTTTATTGGAAAATGGAAAAAATAATTTTAGGTCTTTTGCCTGGTAGAGAAGTTGTGAGAGGCATGTGAGGTTACTTCTGTAACAATGAACTAAAATGTAAAGTTATCTTCTTAGATTCCTAGAAAGCATAAACATCACCTTTGTACAAGTTACAAGAAAGACCTCCTCCTCTGGATTAAGCCAACTCTTTGCCAGTCCTTGCGGTTTCCTTTGCCCAGTAAAGGTGAGGTTTTGGTATCTAGTTTCCCCCTTTGCTGTCTAGTTTTGAGCAGAGCATAACCTGAAGAACTGTCTCTTTAAGAAGGCTCTCAATGCCTGATGTTGTAAGGAAGCATTCACTATGTGGACCTTTGCTGAGGGTCTTTAATAGGCCAGGGCCTTTTGCATTGGTGGTAATGATAAACTGACATTATGCTCTGCACAGTTGAGCACTCTAGGATCCTAATGGAGAACAATGTTTAGATATTGGTTCACCCCAAATAATATGTCAAGGGCCAATCACAGTAGCTCCTGTTATCCCAATACATGGGGGGCTGAGGCAAGAGGATAGCAAGTTTGAAGGCAGCTGGGGCTCCATAGTGAGTTGTGTTTCAGAACATACACCACCACTGTGTCAGTCTTTGAGAAAATGCCCCCCCTCCCATTTTTGTGTATCTGCTGGGCATGTGGGTGATAAAAACCCTGGAAAAAAGTAGCAGCTTGTTTGGGACCCACACCAGTTTGGATTCCTTATGATAAAGACATTGTTCAGCATTTCCTTCTGCTCTTCCCATGTCTTCTATGCCCAAGTTTGAGCAATATTCTTATAGCTAGACAACTTTATTAGACAGGAGGGGCTACAACTACACAATACAGAAGCAGCTACAACTACACAATGAAGCAGAAACTCATGAATGCACAATGTTGCAAGACCTCTGCTCATACAGGATTCTTTTAGTTAACGGTTCTCAACAGTGCTACCAGATCCAACCTTGTACAGCAAACAAGTGTCCTCTTTGTTGATTCTTAATAAAAACTGAAACATATTAACCCAGACGTCCATTCAGAGTCTGAGCACTCAAAATCATTGCTCCTAGTCTCTCCTTTCTCACCTATATTTTCAGTTTCCCTCTCTGCTGGGTCTTTACTATCAACAAGCAAGTGATTTTTCTTGTTTTAAAAACAAAGGCTAGGGGCAGGGGATTTAGCTCAGTGGTGCTGGCACCTGCCTCACAAGTGCAAGGTTCTGAATTCAATCCCCCCCCACAAACAACAACAACAACAAAAACAAAGGGTAGGTTAAAAGTTGGTAGTAGAGAGCTTGCCTAGTATCCTGAGAACCTGGGTTTATTCAGGTATCATTGCAAACAAAACAAAACAAAACAAAATAATTCCCCCCCCCAAACCCAGAAAATCAAAGTAAAAGAACAAAGAAATTCCACTTTTGAGACTCACTCTCATCCAGTCTCATGTCCTAACCATGTGCTGATGTCTCCCAAATTTATGTCTCTACTCCAGACTGTACGTCCTACAGATTCCTATATCTATTATACTCAATTATCACTGGATCTTTCAATTTATGCATTTATTTTTGCAGTGCTGGGGACTGAACTCAGAGCCTCATGCTTTCTAGGGAAGTGCTCTACCACTGAGTCACAACACAACCTTAAAACTTTTTATTTTATTAAGGATGCACGAGGTAATTAAACATTAATTAATTTCTTATTAGTACATGTTTGCAGTAGCCTTGTGTGCAGTTGGTGCGTGTACACAGCACATCTTCTTTCCTTTTTCTATCCTCTTTCCCTCTCCTCCCTCCCCTCTTCCTCCATCTCTTGGTCCCCTTCCCCTAATTCCTATGTCTATCTTTATTTCTAATTGGGTTTCTCATATAAGAGAAACCATATGGTATTTAAGCTTTTGTACCTGATTTATAATTACATACTCATAGGAGGTTGCAAAGCTAGTACTCAGAGTTCCATGTACCTTTCCCACAGTTTGCCCCAGTATTTACAGCTTACCTAACTACAGTGCAGAATTAAAAATGGGAAGTTGACATTAGCATAGTATGTGTATGTGTACCTGTGTAATTTTGTTATGTGTTGATTCACGCAGTCATCACTCAATCAAGATACCGACCTAGTCCATCACCACAAAGATCTCCTTTGTGATACGTCTTTATAGCACATGCATATCCTCACCCCTATCGTCCTAACCACTGGTAACCACTAATCTGTTCCCCGTGTTACATAAATGCAGCCATACAATACACAATCATTTTACTTTATTTTTTTTTTTCACTCAGGAGTTGCCCTTGAGATCCTTCTGAGTTGTTGCATTATCAACAGTTCATTCTTTTGTCTTGTTGAATAGAATTCTGTGGTGCATCCAGCATGACCAACGTATCTACTTTTATTTCTTTTTGGTACCGGGGACCAAACTTGGGTCCTTGTGCTTTCAAGGCAGGAGACAGAACCACGGAGCTCAATTTTTAGAAACAAGTGGAGAGGAAGGGAGAAAAAAAGAAGTGACATGTGCTATGTACATGTTCCAATTTCCTGCAGTGAATGTGGTCATTATATTCTGCAAACATGTACGAAGAAAGTTAAACAAAACAAAACAAAGCAACAACAACAACAACAAAAAAGCAAAAAAAAAAAACTCACCCCAAATAAAAATTTTTTTAGTACTCAGGTACTACAATTTAACACTTCCCCTACTGAGGGACTTTTAGGCTGTTTCCAATTTTTAGCTATTAGGCATAGAATTGCTATTTTACTTGTGTACAGGTAGTGCAATTGCAAGGTTGTATAAGAGTAAATTAGTGTAAATTTAATATTGTAAGAATTCACCAAACTAGTTTCTGGAGTGGCTGTAACATTTTACATTTTCACTAGCAATATACCATACGAGAGATGCAGTTTCTCTGTGTCCTTGCCAGCATTTGATTATGTTTTATTTCAGCTACCCCGAGGGATGTGCAGTGGTATTGTCATAACTCCAGATCTCTAAAGTCCTCTCTCCAATTCTGTCCCTTCTGGTGCTCTGCCCTATAAACTCTGGTTGCCTTGGCCTCCTTGGCCCCTCAGTTCCACTTCCTGAGCTCAGGGAGACTGACAGACTCTGTCTAGATTCTTATTCTTTCTCTTGCAGCCTGGATGCTTACACCAGGGAATGAGCTGGCAGGAGTCAAAGGGCTCATCTCAGTTGTTTCCCATTGGTGGCCTCTGCCCATTAATTTACAATGAGAAGTAGCCCTGACATTCAGAATCTAAGCCTTATGTGGATTGTCAGTTTTCCAATCAGGATATCTGTTCTATCTCTAAAGCTAAGTATCTAACTAGAAGTCAGGAGTTCTATTATCAGAACTACCATTACTCATTGCAGTATATGAGATATTAACCTCTTACACTCACTGTAAAAAAAATCTCAAATGAAGAGTCAGCCTGTATGAGCTTTAATTCCTTCTTGGAGATTCTAGGTTATTGTTTGACTGTTCTAGGAGCAGCAGTGAGCAGTGTTGGTAGTGTGGTCCTTAGTATGTGCTATTTTTAATCAGGAGGCTGGTATTGATTGGACAGGGAAGGAGCATGTGGTGGTAATTGCTGGGCAAGAGCAATAGCTAACACATTTAGCTTGCCGTGTTTGTATAATATTCACGACAGTCCTATGAGGTGTTACTATTATTTTGTTTTTTTGAGACAGGGTCTCACTATATAGCTCAGGCTGGTCTTGAATTCACTATAGCTCAGGCTGGCCTCAAATTGGAGGCAATCCTCTTGCCTCAGTCTCCTGAGCCGTGGGATTATAGGAGTGTGCTACCACACCTGGCTTTATTATCCAAATTTAAAATATGAGAAAGCTGTACCCTAGAAAAGGAAAAATCAAAAATAAAAATATGTTCAATCTAAAAGCTATATTTAGACTGCAGACTTAGAGCCTTTCTTCATAGTCAATCAAAGTTTAGTTTAAAATGATCTTTAGGGGCGGGGATTTAGCTCAGTGGTTCTACCGCCTGCCTCACAAGCACAAGGTCCTGAGTTTGATCCCCGGTACCAAAAAAAGAAAAAAAAGAAAAAAAAATCTTCAGTAGTAATCAAAACACCCCAATAACAAAGAAGCAGGGAGGTGTCTGTAATTGAAAATAATATCCCTACTGACCCTAGCCTGCTGCTGAGCTCAGCAGAGTGTTGATGTCTTCTTCATGTTGCAAACAGATGTCATCTTAGTGAGTGGGCTGAGTGGACACCAAAGAGAGACAGCACAAGCAAACTGTGACAGTGAAATGCAGTAAGTGCCTCCTCAGAATTGGTTGCCATTGGTGAATTGTTATTATTGTAAATTATAAATGTCAGCATGCAAAAAGTCAGCCCAGTAGATCTTGTAGATCACAGAAATTGCTCCCAGACTACCATTTGGAAACTCTTCCTGAATGACTAAGAAAAACCTCCTAAAGAAGCCTTGTTTATGTCTAGAGAGGTTTTTCATAGTACTTTAATAGTCCCCAGGGTACTTTTAAAAATACTAACTCATGGTATCAAGTTTAGCTAAAGAAGTGAACCTTAATATCAACCTCATAACTTTCCTGGTTTTATTTATCCAGGCTGTAAGGACTGACAGTGATTGTGCTGTTTTGGATAAGCTTTTGTCTAAGGTTAAATAATCACATTTGCAAAATCTGTATGTTCTTATGGGTGTGTGGTTATTGGCTGGAGGATGGAAAGAGAGAGCGGAGGGTGGAGGGCTGGGTGAAGGGTTAGGTAAGGCAAGTGAAAATTTATGATTAACCCAAGTATTCCACATCTTCACATGAAGTCATAATGCAGTTGAAAAATGGAGAAAGCAAAACAACCATCTCGGAGAGGTAACCCAAATAAAGGACAAAATCTTCACATTTCAGAAATAATAGAGAAAGATTTAAGTAAATGTAGAGAACATGAGACAATTTTTGAAATTCATGCACAAAAGTCAGACCGTTTATTATAAAACGCAAGCTAGTGGGTGTAATTCAAGAGTGGAACAATTGACTGATGAAATAAAACTGTCGACAACTTCCTAGGCTGGAGACATTTCCTGTCTTGGACGTCTGACTCTCTTTCATTGCCCAAAAAAGCCTTACTTCAAAGTGTTTGTGGGAGCAGAAAGGCAAGTTGGCTGAACATGTGCATTCAGTGCTGGGTGGGAGAACAGGGGGGCGGCGAGGCTTAGGAAGTCAAACTATGTTTAAGAGCACATAGGCTACCAGGAGATGATCATTTTTATGCCAACCAGCACCCAGGGCAGTGCTCACAGAGAAGAAAACTCTGGGAGGGAAGAACTTAGGGAACAGGACCCAAGGGTCTCTGAAGTTACGTAGGTGTGCAGGTAAGTCACCGTAGTGTTGGTTGTCCCAGGGAACAACATGGGAGGTTACTTATTTTAAACTTAAAAATGGGAGGGGTATTCTCATCTTTCTAGAAGAATTGCAATAGGGGACAAGTTTGCATAATAATAAGGAAATTCTGATTGCTCCTTATCCAGATATATTATTTAAAATTCTTTTTCCCAATTTATTTTATCATTTTCATCTTTCCTATCAGCATGCGCTTGTTGACACACACATATACGTTTATATATCTATGTTCTATATTGACACTAGGCTGCATACACTGTGCTCCATAATATTTTGTGCATTTTCTAGGAACGAGGATATTCTACTAATCAGACTACAATTTAAAAATTTAGTATGTCAAGCACTGATATAAGACTTTTACCTCTTCCACAGATTATATTCTAATTTTATCAGTTGTATCAATAATATTCTCTGTAGCTTTTCTTTCCTGTGTTTGATAAGGGGACAAGATTGGCCTAGCAGGACAGAGGTGCATGCTCATTTCCTCCACTGTCACCAGGATCTTTATTAGTAAGGGAACCCACCAGTCACTTGTTTGATTTTCTTTGGTTTCATTTTTAGTCCATTTATTCCATAATAACACAAACCTAATCAGCAGAAATATCTTGATAATAAGAGATCTGTATTAGTCATTCTTTTGTCAAAATAGCTGACAACCACAACTTAAAGGAAGGGAGGTTTATTTTGGCTCATAGTTTCCATGGGTTCACTCCATGGCTGGCTGGCTCCAAGGCAGAAATTTCATGGCAAAACAGCATGGTGGAGGAAAGCTGCTCAGTGCTGCATGGCAGTCGGGAACAAGAGTATGCTCTTCCAGTCATGGCCCCAGAGCCCTGCCTCTTCTGTCTGTGCTCCACTTCTGAATATTATGGTCAGCTCTGGACTCATCAGTGGATTAATTCACTCATGAGCACAGCACCCCCATGATCCAGTCACCTTCCAAAGGCCCACCTTTGAACATGAGACTTTGGGGGGAGATTTTAGATCTAAATTATCACAAGGTCTTCAGTAAGGGAAAGTCTCTGGCATGACAAGATGTAGCTTTAGCAGGGGTCTGAGATGTGAAGTTTGACATAATTCTTCCCGCCTCAGTTTAAGAGTGAGAATAGACTGTGGGAACTTTTGTATTCATATTTATATTTTGGGGGATGGAGAATAATAGTAATGTGCAAAAGTAATTTTGGGATGAAAATAGAGACTTTGTTTCCTATCATAGTCCTAGTCCTCTACTTAGAGTAAGGCATTCTACAAGAATTTCTCTGTACTCATTTGTCTTTCTTACTATTCTCTTTGGAAACTTCAAAATAATTTCTGTTTAAGAATTGATTGGTTTTAACTTCCCTCACTGATTCCTAATATGTAAATCAATTTCGGAAGCATTTCTCCTGGTCATCTTCCAAACAGTCTTCAGGATCTACAGCTTATTACACAGTAATGGTGGGAAGGAACAGGATAAATGGAGAATGAAAAGGATTACTGCCTTAGGAGGGTGGAGTAATGTGCAGAAGCCGGAGGAGACCCAACCCTGGACCCATTGGCAGGTACTGGTCTGTGGCCAGTTAGGAACAGGGGTGTACAGCAAGTGAGAGGAGGGTGAATGAGTGAAGCTTCATCTGTATTTATGGCTATTCCTCGTTGCTGACATTGCCACCTGAGCTCCACCTCCTGTCAGATCAGTGGCAGCATTAAATTCTCATAGGAGCAAGAACTCTAGTGTGAACTGTGCGTTAGATGGATCCAGCTTGTGTGTTCTTCATGAGAGTCTAATGCCTGATGATCTGAGGTGGTGATACTAGTTCTGGGGAAAGTAATTGTTAGGTATTGCAAACATATATTAATTTAAAAAGGAAAACTTATTTTCCATGAAACTGGTCCCTGACGCCAAAAAGGTTGGAGACTACTGTTATATGATTTAGGGTGACCATTGTTTCTATAGGAGCCAGTTTTTATCTCAACACCATGTCCTTCTTTTTCCCTCTTCTCCAGGCAATATGAAGCTGACCCTGGTACAGATCTTTGTCATCATGCTTCTGCTGCTACTGGGCCTGGGGTCGGGCCTAGGGCTGGGGCTTCAAATGGCTGCAGCAGTCCTGGAGGACAGTGATCAGCCACTGAATGAATTTTGGTCCAGTGACTTACAGGACAAAGCTGAGGCCACTGAGGAGAGAAAGGACACTCAAACCCCAGAAACCCTGGTGCTTAGCAACAAAGCAATTGTGCAGCCTGGCTGGCCAGAAGAGACCGTCTTCAGTGAAGATGAGGTTGGAGGGAACCAAGGTCTCAGAGCGGAGGCCCGCTTTCAGAGCTACAGAGACTATCTTAGGCTTGACTTGACAGCCAGAGAATGTAATGCCATGATGGCACCCAAGGTGATGCAGCGTAATCACAGTTGCATACCTGAGTACACATTCATCCATGAGGATCCCAAAATAGTCAAAGCCGTCTGTAACAGTCCTGCTGTAGCCTGTGAGCTCAAGGGGGCCAAATGTCACAAAAGCCCTCGCCCTTTTGACTTAACATACTGCAAGTTGTCTAAACTAAGCCAAGTCACCCCCAACTGCAATTACCTAACTTTCATTATGGAAAAGGTCATTCTTATAACCTGTAAGGACATGAAGCTCCAGTTAACAGCTATACAATGAAGCAGCTTATCCTATTCCTTCTCTACATCTTATTCTCTTCCATTTGCTTTCCCATTTCCATTTTCTCTTGCTGCTCTCCTCTTCTTAGGTATCCTGTGGAAAAGGTCTTGAGAAGAGAAGACAGATTATTCTTTATCATTCTCTTCTGAAAATAAAGTTCATCTTTGCCTTAGGGGTCATGTAATTTTTGTTTTGGTCCTGGGAACAGAGGTGGGAGAATAGAGCAAAGATGCCTAGTTTTTCTGCCTGTCTTTTCTAACCCTTGCCCTGGAAAGGGGTAAGAAAACTACTGCTCTTGTCCTTACCATAACCCTTGTCATCAGTCTGTTCCCTGGTCTGAGTTTACCTTTGGGTATGAATTTAATGCATCCTTTGCCCATCTCCTCCCTCCTACCCACCTTGAGCTTCTATGCCAATTACATGACTCCTAGGCTTTGCACAATAGCACTTCTCTGCTGTGGATGCAAATCTGTGACTGCCTCTTGAAAACCATGTGGCCCAGGTCTCTTTAGATGAGCCTGGGGGGGAAAATATAGGGCCTAGATCTGGGCGTCTGCTGATATTTGGCAGGGGATATAGATCACAACAGAATTCATGCTGTCGAAGGGGCAAGGAAGCCCTCTTTTTCCTAACTCTTTTTCTACCCTTTTATCTTCCCTGCCATATTCACTACATGCCTCTTTGCTTTGCTTCTTTTTTCCCTCTCTTTCCTTTGTTCTCCTTTCCTGTTTTGTTTTTTTTTAAATTAGCATTCCAATCTTTTTCTCTGGATCTTTTCCACTTATGCCTTGCCAAGTACATAGATGTTGAACCTAGTCTGGTATAGGAAGATGGAGAGAAGGAGGGTCAGGAAAATGAGAAAAAGAGGAGGAGAGTGAGCCATTTTTCCGAATTAGGACTAAAAAGCAGAATAGTGCTCACTTTAGATGCTCAATAGAATGAATGAGATGAGAGGATCTCTTATTCAGTAAAGGTAGTAGCACAATTGGGGCTGGGAGACCATTCCCTCGCCATACACCTGAATTTGGGCAACACCCCTGGGCCATTTCTCCTTCTATTGCTCTAAAAATAAATAAACAAACAAACAAAGAAATAAATAAATAAGATCTTGAAAATATCTAAAGAAGGGCTGGGAATTTAGCTCAGTGGTGTCGCTGCCTGCCTCACAAGCTCAAGGACCTGAGTTTGATCCCCGGTACCAAAAAAAAAAAAAAAAAAAAAATCTAAAGCTTCAGGCCAGGGCACATGTCTGTTAGATCTCCTGACCTGACCTTCAACAACCTTTTCCTCACTTGAACCTCATTAAAGATTCATATATATAGATTGCATCTCATGTATTTAATTTAATCAGAGTAAACTCTGGGACACGCATGCACATGTCATGGTGCCTCTGAGATGGCTCAGCACCCTGTCAATTATTCCTGTCAATTTTATCCAGAGACCCAGTGAGAGACGCCTGGGCTGGGGTGCACATCCTTTAAAATTCAAAAGCCTGATTTATCTGTGTGCTTTTTATTTTCCTGACATCCTGACACCACTTTTCTGTTCATGCCACATTTTTGTTTCTGTTGGCACAGACCTGCTTTGAGCACGTCATCCACTATCTTCAATAAGTGTAGCTGCTTTTTCTTTTACCATTGAGTGTACATTGAATGTACACTTGCAATTCTTTGTTCATCATATACAAGAGTCTTACATCTGTCTGTCAAATCCATCACGTTATCAAGCACATTTTCCCCTTTCTTGCTCTTAAAAACAAAGAAGTTGGTGAAAGAATAATTTTAGCAGAGAAGATATTGGATCTACCTTTGGAGGGAAAAGGTATGGGGTTAGATAAGTATAGAATGCAAGTGGCTATTTCCACTAAAGGACAGTACATAAAGAAATAAGTATAGTTACACATTTATAGGGCTGAGAAAATACCAATAAAAATTCCTCTGTGATTTGATTTTGAGGTTTTCTCCCCCCTAGAGTTTTTCCTTGCTTCACTTTCCTAGACTGTAACATAGCCAAGAGTCAGGGAGACTGAAGGAAAAAAGGGGTTAGTTTACTGTGGTTTGGCTTTTATTTTCATGATTTCTTCCCTCATTTATTTCTCTATTTTCCTTATCCTTTCTGTTCTTGAAGGCAGACAACCATTTTTGTTGTCTCCTGATTTGGCTACCCAAGGTTAAGGTCTATACTACATGTTGCTCCCCCAAAACAAAGGAAGCAGAAGTTTTTGGAGAAAATAAAAGGATTTATTCAAAACCAGCTCCAAGGGAGGTGGAAAAGCCTCTTCTTGCCTCAGACCTCTATTTCTCTGTACAAGGGTTATTATTGCAAAGAAGTTGGGTGGGGGGAGAAAATGGACAAGGAAATTCTCAAGCTGTTTTTATCTTCAAGGCCAATCTCCGCTCTCTTCCTCTCTTGTGGAAACCAAAACAATACCTTGACCTCTTGGGGCCAGCATGTACATATTTTTTCAGAGGGATGCGCATTTTTCCAGTAACTTCTCATCCCCTTTATCTGAGCAGAGGAGAGGAGGTGGGAGTTTATACTGTCAGCATGAGGAAGCTGGAGAAGCAGCTTATATAAGAAAATCCCAATGTTTAAAGATCCTTCTCAACATCTAGGTTACAATTCCACATTTCCCTTATGCCTCTGGCTAATTTCTGCTGGCAATGACTTATTAAAAACAGTGCTATTTGACAGGAAGTGTGCTCTGCAGCCCGCCCTGCTATTTTAGTGGTGGTAGAGGAGTAGTGGGAAGGAGGGTGATGATGACTCTTCTTTTTGATGGGGAAGAGACAAAATACTATTTAAGATGAGGGACAAAATGAGAAGTGGGGTAAGAAGAGATACAAGAGTAGTATCAGAGAAAATTAGCCTGGTTAGGAATTTGGTAGGAAAACCCAGAGCATTAGGATTGGGAGTAGATGTGAAAAAGGTATTAAGTCTGACTTCACCTTAACCAAAAGCCAAAGGCTCCATTGTGTGGGGCAAACTATCAAGACAGAGAATTAGCCAGGGATTAAAACTTATATTCTTTCACTTGCAAATATGACTATACCCTCTTACAATTGCCTGGCTTCTCTCCCTGTGGGTTCTCGCACCACTCCATGACAGCTTCTGTCTCCCTCTTCTGGTCTCCTCTGTGGATAAAAAGTCATGGTCAGGCTTTTATCTAACCACAAAGACTAGCTCAGGAAAGCAGTTTATAAAACATTGTACAGACTCCTAGTGACACACCCGGAAAACACAGTTTTTGCCTAAAGAACATATATTCTCAGTATTGCAGGGAAATGAGCAAGAGTGAGAGAGTCAGCAAAAGAGAAGCAGGGGAGAATCTTCATATTCTGGGTTCTCCTTGCAGGACACGAACATAGGGTCGGACAGTCTGGGTGGTTAAGGACACTTCTCAGTGTGATGTTCAAAATAAAATAATCACAACCAACTAAACTATAAATTTAAGAAATTTCAATAAATATTGCTACTTTAATCCTTTTTAAAATATGAAATATAAAACCTTTTCAAAACCAGGAATGGTGGTACATACCTGTAATCCCAGCTCTTGGGAGACTGAGGCAGGAGGATTATGATTTCCAGAGCAGCCTGGTCAACATAACTTGTTCCAGGCCAGCTTGGGCCACATAGTAAGACCTTGTCTCAAAAAAAAGGGGGGGGGGGCTGGGGATTTGGCTCAGTGGTTTCGCCGCCTGCTCTGGAAGCGCACGGACCTGAGTTTGATCCCCAGTACCAAAAAAACAAAACAAACAAACAAACAAAAAAACAAAGCAAAACAAAAGTACAGAAACAGAACAAAACAAAAAACCAAACTGAACCGAAGCAAACCAAATACCACCACCACCAAACAAGTTAAAAAAAAAATCTACACCAAAATAAAACCTTTTAAAAATCTTCCTTTTCTTTCTCTTCTTTCTTTCTTTCTTTCTTTCTTTCTTTCTTTCTTTCTTTCTATCTCTTTCTTTATTTCTTTCCTTCTTCCTTCCTTCCTTCCCTTCTACTTCTTCTCCGCCTCCTCCTTCTCCTCCTTCTCCTTTTTTAAGATAACGTCTTGCTACATTGCCTAGTCTGGTCTCAAACTCCTAGACTTAAGTAACTGTCCTGCCTCAGCCTCCCAAGAAGATGGGGCACATGTGTACCACAGCACCCTGTTTCTGACTCTCGTTCTCTTTCTCTGTTTGGCCTGAGCTTTGCTCCAGTGTACTGACTCCCTTTTGGGTAATGCAGCTCTAATATATTAAAAGTGGCTGGGAGGGAAGATCCAGACTAGAGGATAACTCCCCTACTATTTGCAAGACACTCAGCTATTGTGTTCAGAACACTTTATTCAAGCTTTTCTACACCTTGGCTGCTATTATAATAACCCTGGGAAGATTAAAAAATATAATAAATGTAATTCTGAAGGCCCCCTTCCAGCAATAGCGATTTAATTAGTCCAAGTTGGAGTGCAGGCATCAGATGCGGTCCAGGCATCTTGGGGCTCAGATCATTATCCTTCCTTGGGAAGTTTTTCTTTGAGTTGGTGTTTCAAAGTTGTAACACAGATGTTGAAATGATTTGGAAGATCTCAAGTCAAAGAAGGTTAAGTAGATTTATTTTCTGATCTCACAATCTTTAATGTTAATATGCCTTCTAAATCACTAACAATTGAGATCATATTTTACATTTTCATACTAATTCCCATGAAGTATATTTCCCCTTGTGTGAATATCCCAGAGAGATATAAGATAAACACCACCTCTAAATCAAGAAGGAACAGACAGAGTAAAGAACGACTTGGACAAATCCAACTTTGCGAGTAAATGAGTCAATTGGGGCTTACTTACAGAGCAGTGGACGGCTGGTGAGGTGTGTAGAAGCCACCACCTGCCCTGTGCCAGGCTACAGGTTTTATAGTGTACTAATTAAAACAGCAAAAGGAGAATAAAAACCAAGGAGACTTCTTGGGAAAAGTCGTGCGTATACTCTGCTTCCAGCCCATCTTTAACAGGAAACTCTGCCGGTCTCAGCAAGCACTGTCTGGCTGCCATGGTGGAGGCCCTTGTTGTGCTGCAGACTGGTACAGCCTTAACACCTGGAGGGGGCCCACTGGGCAGTTAAGCAGGAGCCTACTGCAAGAGGGAGTCACTTTGGCTATAGTTCAGAGAACAATTCTCACAACACCCTTCTTAGCCATGAGTAACGCTTTCTAAAACTAGTGTTTCTAGTTGAGAAAAATTGTTCTACCCTTTTTTTCTTTATTACTGAGGATTGAACACAAAATTTGTACTTGCTAGGCAAGAGCTCTATCACTGAGCTACATACTCATTCTTTTTCCTTTTTCTAAATTTTGAGTCTCCTGAAATTGCCTAGTCTTTGAATTTGCAATCCTACTGCATCAGCTTTGCAAATCACTGTAATTATAGGCATGCACTACTGTACCTGGCTTGTTCTAGGCTTGTCTAATCCTTTCACCTAGCCTCCTTTATCTAATGCAGTGATATGGAGCCTACTTTAAACACTAATATTTAGTTAAGACTGTAAGATCATCTATGCTCAGATTATCAACTAATCTGATTTGGCAAACCATGGAAGAAAGAACCAGTCCTTGGAAATCAGAGAGATGTACATAAAATTGAAACTCTGCTACTTAAACACAGTTGTGGCCATGGTCATTGCCCTCAACTCTCAGAAACACTTGTTCCTTTTGTGCAAAGAGAGACAATCATAGTACCTACTTGATTCTGTCTTGAGGATTATATATCCTGCATCCCATACAATACTTCCTGACAGGGTTCTCTTGATAGTATGCTGTCAAAAAAGAAAAAACAATCACTACCTCAAGAATCTTCATTTTTGTCTCTGCTTGTAAGCCATTTGGTCTAACACCTTTGCTAAGGGCAAGGCCCGTCAGAAGCTGTTTCCTAAAGAAGGAACAGAGAACTCATTTTACTTGAAGTTCTCCTGGCAGCTGAGGGCAGGGCTCAGGTTGGTGGTTACTGCAGGTAGGCAGAATAGACTGAAGAATGTCAGTGTAGTATATGGATCTGGAACTGCACATTGTAGGAAGTCTAGCCACACAATTGTAATGAAATCTTAGCTCCAACATATATTAGCTGATCTTGAGTGAGTAACCTCTCTG